TATTATTTACGAGAATATCGATGTTCGTCTTAACGTTAAACCAAAAACTTAGTGGTACTTTTAATTATTAATTATCCATAAATACAGGATGTTAATTTTAATATGAAGTACAGCGGTTTAATATTTGATCAGTTAAATCCTTTTCCTAAGGCAACAACTGTTACACTCGAATTGCCACCTTATACAATTACTTAGGTTATTGTCAAGTACAGATTATCTAAAGAAATCATTAAATGTTAAATAAGAACTTGACCTATTTAGAAACGTTGACATGGTAGGCCCAGAAGGCCTAAGGGTAAAAAATGACTCTACATTGTAAAAACCATAAATTTTATAAATTGCCGATACATCATATAAAAGTGCATTCTAGGGCACGTTTAGCAGGATTGAACTCAATGTTAGAAACGAGAATGTGCGTTATCCGACTTTAAAAAACTAAGGCATGCGAGTGACTTGCCTTATAAAGTGAGCACCAATCGAGCTTACTCTAAATGAATTCAAATTGGCTCATTATGCATCTGTGTCGCAAGGTACGTACTAAAGCTTTTGCACATTAGAGAGGACTGAATTTTGAATGTTGAAGACACATAAAGATAGATAGATATTATTTGGCCATTTGAGAACAACAGAAAGACATACAGGGATCTAGTATAGGTAAATTTCTTTTACTTATCTTTTTACTTAACGTGCTGGTTTTAGTCTAACTCCTTGATATTACCCAATTTAGCCCTTTTTCGTAACCTATAGCTCAAATAAACCAAGTAGCACTTAAAGACAGTTTTATTTTTTTTTAATCACGGACTGAACAAACAGTTAGAGGTAAGATAGCCAGTTCCTCTGTGGTTGAGGTTTCCGGGCAAAGCTCGCTTCCACCTTTCGACCTGATCATCATTTTCCATCAGGTGAGATTCAGGCCAAGAGCTTCTTCGTGAATAAGAAAAAGTAGGTAATGTACAAAAAAGTCCGGAAAAAAACTATTTTGGTATTGAAACTGTCACTGACAACACTCCAAAGGCTTTTCTTCAAGTAGGTGGGTAATGTGTGTAGACCCTAAACACCGATTGCGGCCGACATTCTGCGCATAGCTGGCTGCGCGCACGCATTAACGGGCCTTATCCGCGCTAATAGCGGCTTAGGCAAATATGTAATGAGAACATTGCCAATTAGCAGTTGCTAATTATATTTGAGTCCGGCTGATTAACCTCTGGTCTGTGATTGTATTTGCGTATGCATGTCTCTACTTGAATGCGGCCACTTGTCTTGTATTGATTTTTAAAAGGATGAAGATAAAACTACATTTTACGTTTTAATTTTTCTCTAATGGACTGCGAAAAACTGATCTAGATTTTCTAGTTTCTGCTACCATGTCTAATTACACGAATGTGGTAGAATAGATTGATTCAAAATACATAGTCTTAGAAAAAACAGATCCATCGATTGAAAATAAATTATGATTGTATGATTTGTTACTGAACTTTTAATCGAATTACTATAGTACTCTGGACCTATAGGACAGAGATAAAACGTTATTATCACCTAGCATGAACTGATGTCGGCCAGCTTGAAGGATTCGGAAAGTTCTTAGACAGTGAAATTTTTATTTTATAGGCCACTGCTAAACTACAAACGTAGTAAAATAAAATACTTTTTAACAATAGTATATTTATTCCTCAATCAAAAATATTTACAGCGAAATATTGCACACGGCAGGTGAGCCAGCACTTATCATTACAAAATATTGCACCGAGATTGCACAGTTACATTGGTAAGATCAACAAATGCATAGTAGGTAAGCTAAAATTCTATACTAATATACAAACAATAACTACAAACAACATCAGTGTTACTATGAAACGATTATGATTTAGTTACCTTATAAGTACATTTGCTATTAGCAACAACGCATCATTTTTAATATCATCCATTTAAAAAGGGAAAGGACTCACGTTCATTTTGTATTTTAAACATACAAATTGAAATTAAACACAAAATCCAAATTTTGATCGAATCATTCACTGAGATGAGAATTTGCTCACAAAATTTACAAAGGCGTTGACTATCACTTAAAAAATGGTAACAAACGTAGTCCCTAAACCAATTCACTAAGATAGCAAAACAATGCGTGGTATCACCATATAAAATCGTTTCATAGTAGGTATACCGTAATATGTATGTTATGTAAGACTAATGAGACATTACCTACCTAAATACCTATAACATAGAAGTGACTCAATAAATTGCACCTATGTATAATAAAGGTTATTTTCGACAATAAATAACTACATACATAAGTTAAGTTAAGAACAATCGTTATACTTAAAATCCTTATTTTATAATAAGGTGGTATACGTGTGTTATTGAAATTATACAAGACGATTTCAGGGAAATTATTATTACTAATAACAATTAAATCTCTCAGACATTTTACATGTATTTTGGCAAAAAAAACATTAATAATTATTATGGTCTACTTGCCTTTCGTCTCTANACATAGCTGGGTGCGCGCACGCATTAACGGGCCTTATCCGCGCGAATGGCGGCTTAGGCAAATATGTAATGAGAACATTGCCAATTAGCAATTGCTAATTATATTTGAGTCCGGCTGATTAACCTCTGGTCTGCGATTGTATTTGCGTATGCATGTTTCTACTTGAATGCGGCCATTCTTGTCCTTGTATTGATTTTTAAAACGATGAAGATTACAGGTTACGTTTTAACTTTTCTCTACATATATGGACTACGAAAAACCGACGTAGGTATAGGTTTTTCACAGTTTCTGTTACCATGCTTAGACATTCGTGTAATTTTTCACTTTTTCTGCATGAGTATCAGTAGATACCTAATTTTGGTAGAGTCAAAAGAGAGAAAAAATAGATCCATGGATTGAAAATAAAATGTGATTGTATTATTTGTTACTATCCTTTTGATGGAATTACTACGGTACTCTAGCTAGCTAAAGGATATACACAAGCACCGATGTCGTCAGCATGAAGAATTCGATTTCTTCTCCGGGAACCCTCTGCTAAAGAACACTTAACTAATTAGTAAATAAAATAGTTTTTAACTTTAGTATATTTATTCCTCAATCAAAAATATTTACAGCGAAATATTGCACACGGCAGGTGAGCCAGCACTTATCATTACAAAATATTGCACCGAGATTGCACAGTTACATTGGTAAGATCAACAAATGCATAGTAGGTAAGCTAAAATTCTATACTAATATACAAACAATAACTACCAACAACATCAATGTTACTATGAAACGATAATGATTTAGTTACCTTATAAGTACATTTGCTATTTATAGCAACAACACATTGTTTTATAAATATTTTTATCCATTCAAAAGGGGACAGGACACCTGTTTAATTAGTATTATAAATATACAAATTGAATCTAAACACAAAAATCCATCCAAGTTTTGATCGAATGATGAGAGATGAGAATTTGCTCACAAAATTTACAAAGGCGTTGACCACGTTGACCATCACTTAAAAAATAGTAACAAACTTCGTAGTCCCTAAACCAATTCACTAAGATAGCAAAACAATGCGTTGTATCACCATATAAAATCGTTTCATAGTAGGTATACCGTAATATGTATGTTATGTAAGACTAATGAGACATTACCTACCTAAATACCTATAACATAGAAGTGACTCAATAAATTGCACCTATGTATAATAAAGGTTATTTTCGACAATAAATAACTACATACATAAGTTAAGTTAAGAACAATCGTTATACTTAAAATCCTTATTTTATAATAAGGTGGTATACGTGTGTTATTGAAATTATACAAGACGATTTCAGGGAAATTATTATTACTAATAACAATTAAATCTCTCAGACATTTTACATGTGTTTTGGCAAAAAACATTATAATTATTATGGTTTACTTGCCTTTATTAAGGTTACGGTAAACACTTTCATAATACATTATTATTCTCAATATCAATTCAAAAATAATTTGAAACTTCAAAAATGATTAAATCTTTGTAACTTTAATTTTGGCTTCATGAATGTTAATATTTATTCAACTATCACAAATACCTATTAAGTATAAAAAAGACACAAAATCATTGCTAGACCTTAAATACGATGGTGATCAAATGTTCTCAAACCCTGCTCGAATGAGACTAACACACCTCGTCTCATTCATAGGTTTATTATGATATTTGCCAATCTTTAACGCACATCTGGATGTCATGAACATGATAAGTATGAAGAATATCCTCAATATTTCGCGTATAATCAATCGATCATCGAGAGGAACGGTCTGTACGTAACTGCACTGTAAGTAATCTAATGAATGTAGTCGATCTGCCAACTTCAAACCTTGGAGAAAGAGGATCTCGTGGGTTTCCCTAAAGAACTCCTCAAGTATTGTGACTCAAAAGTAGTATTGAACTAGTATACAAGACTGCATGCACGGGTAGGAACGGGTATACCTATAACCAGGATAACTGGTACTGCATGCAGAGAATTACGTTCTGCACCAATAGAATTTGAAAATCTGGTAAATAAAGTTGTAGGTAATAGAAATCTACCAGTGATTGACTTCAGCAAAATGTTTGGCAATCAAGGGTGTTTCTTTCCTTCTTTCATTGAATAACATTAGTTAGGTACTGTTTTCTAATCCTTCATCTGCCTTTGGTAAGAGAGCATCTTGTTCCTGCAGTGAAGAAGACTTATGCCCGTTTTCACCGTCAATCCCAAATTTTTAAGCGGCTATGGTGCGGGACTATTCCCACCTCTCGTTCCCACCACTGCAACTCTTGTGTAGCCAGGATCTACAGCTTGACCGCCACAAAAACCCAACCAATGAAGGTCAAGTTTGTCCCGGGGGAGAGTTAAACTGTCATTGGACCCGCAACGAAATTAATCAGAAGAACATAGGATGAGTTCGAAATTAAGGTTCGACTTCCCTCCATTGCAAAGCGGATGACAGGTGACAAACAAAGCGGCTATGGTAACAAATAACAGGAAATTTGTTTTCATAGGGGTCACTTAAAAATTAGGGATTGATGGTGAAAACGGGCATTGTGACCTTATTAATATTCCAAGATTTTCAAGATTTTCAATTGCTATTGGTTACAGACTTTCATAAGCCCCATCTACCAGATCTAAGGCAGATACCCCAGTGTGTCTTCAAGACTCGCGTTTCTGCTCAACGGGCGGTGGTCGAACATCCTCGCCAGGGGTGGGGCAGCACGAGGGGGAGAGGGGGGCAAGGGTGGGGGCCGCGACCGTCGCCCACCAGCCAGTGAACGAACGTCTGTCCGCTGGGACAGCCGTACGTCAGCGAACAGGGCCGCCATTTCAGCAGATTTCTTCACGCTGAGAGCATCGTGGGAGCCCGCTCCCGTACTTCGCACTGAAAGTAAAGAAAGGAACCATTGTACCTCTAAACATTTTTCTGCTGCAGCAACCAGTTTTTCTCTATACCTCTGTAACTTGTATGATTCATAAGATTTCAGAAACCTGCACTATCTTGACTTCTTTTAATGACGTGCTTCAAGCAGAACTGTTAAAGCGAAATCCTTCAATTATTTTTACCATTTTCATCTTGCCATCTAGCAGATAATAAATGCAGCAGCATAATTATGTTGAGGCAAACAATTTAGTTATGCCTATTCCATGGGAGACAGCATTTCTCACAAGCTTCGTAAGTGGTTCGGCATAAGTTTCTCGCTAAAGGCCTTTATTCATAGAGCATTTTTAGAACGTGTCTCTGTAAGAATGTCTACACTGCCCTTGAGCCATTTTTCAAACCACATCGTCAAAAGCATAGAGTAAAAAGATTATGAGACATGTAGAGGCTCCTTAAGAGCAAAATGATGATTTGTAAGAAATATTTATTAGTCTAAACAAATAAAGAAATTTTGACTTTTGACTTTGACCTAAAACCTCTCCGCAGAACTGATCAAGTGCTTTGAGTAAAGGCCCTAACATCGCTCCCTGCGTAAACATTAATAGTTACTCACACACACCTGTAAGCCTCTGCATGTTGCGACTCCGGGTGTCTCTGGCCTTGTTCTGTAGCAACAGCTCGTAGTCTAATGCGAGGCTGTCAGAACTGCGCGCGCGCCGGCTGCGCTCCTCGCGGCGTCGGCTGGAGAGGCCGCTGGATCTGGAAGAAGAAAGCGTTCATTAATATTATGTGCTGTGTCATCATCATCAACATCAGGTCAGGTTCTCGCTGTAGAAGCCCTCTAGTTTACCAACATTATCACGCCCATATTCACAAACGATGCTTGCTTAAATGAAGCAGCAAATCAAACGCACAGCATTAAATAGAGCTCTGTGATTGGTTCGTGTGTCAGCCTCTGCATCCACGCGCATTGTGAGGCCTCAACGTAATGTTTTTGAATTCGGGTGTCAGTGTGCTTACCATGAGTTTACGTTAGATGTGCTCGCTAGCGACTGCGCAAAAAATTGCATTAAATAGGGATGTGTCCTGGGTCAAAAAGCAAGAGTTTTAATGAGTCCGTCAGTTAACTTATCAAAAAATACTCTACACGTATTTTTCACTTTTTCAAACTAATGAAAATTTAAAGAGATAAAGCGCGCCAAAGTTCATAAGAAGAGGCCCGTAACGTCAATGCTTGCATAAAAGTGCCGCACGTTGTGACGTCGTGCGGAACTTCAACGCACCATAACTATGTAATTACTCGTATTTGTTACATTGACAAATAAAAATAATGTGTCCAATATTTTTTGATATTAAACATGACGGACTAAAAAAATTTTTTTAGGAAACTAGCCTATTGTATGACAGATTGTATAGCGCTCCTAGACACTAGTGGATACCTATTCCTACTGCCTTTATATTCGTATTCGTCAAAGGTCCTCTTCATCTATTCGGCGTAGGTCTTCTTCGAGGGGCTTCTCAAGTACTCTAAACTCTGGGAGGTCTGCATGGTGGTCCTCTGAAGCCTGGCACAGTAGCACTTTATTACTACACTAGTATCCCCCAAAACATCGTAAGTAGCCTTACCTGTTCCTACTGCCTTTATGTTCGTACTCGTCAAAGGTCCTCTTCATCTGTTCGGCATAGGTCTTCTTTGAGGGGCTCTTCAAGTATTCTAAACTCTGGGAGGTCTGCATGGTGGTCCTCTAAGAGCCGGCGCTGTAGCACTTATTGCTGTCCCATTATTCTTACTTACTACACTAGTATCTCCTAAACTTTGAAACGTCGTAAACAGCCATACCTGTTCCTACTGCCTTTATGTTCGTATTCATCAAAGGTCCTCTTCATCTGTTCGGCATAGGTCTTCTTTGAGGGGCTCTTCAAGTATTCTAAACTCTGGGAGGTCTGCATGGTGGTCCTTCGAGGGCCGGCGCAGTAGCACTTGTTGCTGTCCGCACAGCTCTCGGAGTCGCAGGAGCAGTAGCTGAAGTCGGCGTCGTATACTTCCCTGGAATAGTTGGATATCATATTTAGGGTGTAGGTTCGATGATTGACTTCAATCACAATAATTAAACATCCTTTGTTTGAGAGAGTCTGGTTGTTTTGTGACTACGGCTGTAGGAACAAAGCAGTAAAATCAAGCTCGTACGTACGGGTACGGGTACGGGTTTGTCGCCCGTATTCACAAACATTACTATGAGGTCTCACAGTGCGCGTGGACGCACAGGGTGACACACGAACCAATCATAGAGCTCTATTCAACGCTGTGCGTTCGATTTGCTGCTTAACTTATGCATGCATCGTTTGTGAATACGGGCGTGCGCGTGAGTCGCATACCTACCCTAAGTTCCAAATGCAATTTTAAATTATTTGTTTCAGTTGAAAATTTTATTGTAGGTATTTATAGGTAAAAAATATCATCCATACTTCCTAGTTTAGTTTATTTGAAAGCAAATAGATCTAAATTATGATAACAAAAATTGAAATGTTCAGGAAAAAGTTAGTAATAATAATAAAACTATCAATAAGTGCTGACTATAAAGACAGGTAACTACTATGGTGGAACATGTTAATGAGGCAATGCTGCTATGAGTTCCCCATTTAGGTCTTATCTAAGCCAAGTAATTTGCAGTAAAAACCATCGTCAAACATAAACTAAAGAGATCTCAATCGACTTATTTCATATTTCACTAAACACGCACTTTTATTTTAGAAACGATACAATTCAAATATTAAAACACATGACAAAATAAAGTTAAACAAAGGAAGAAAGTACATCCGAAGCGCATCTGATGCGTTTATTGAATTCAATTAGATATTCTCCAGTCTGAGGCACGCGAATGTAAACGAGATGCTCTAGTGAGTTGACGTTAATAAATTGTATCTTTTAGATACTGAAACAATACGCACGAAATCTTTTTATTTATTTAAGAATCAGTTTTGCTGACTTTCATCTCGTCCAACAAGTGAAGATATCCAATCTCATATGAGTCACATTAAAAATACTCGAGACATTTGACAATTAGTTAACACTTGATCAATCAGTTATTTGTCATAGATAGGATGAAATTTATGATGCAGCAGGATCGATATTGCATCTCAGTGAAATTACAAATTCACAGTCAACTGTAAATAATTATAATTTACTTCAGTTACTCATGAGGCGTCGCGAGCGGCGGACGCGCCACGCTCTAATAACCACCGCGCACATTTCATTTCTACAAGCATCACGTATTATTTTATAATGAACCATAAATAACAATAAACAAGGCAGGAATTCCTTTGGAGATATTGCGACAATTCTGTAAATGAAATTAAAGCCACACACTCATTTCACCAAGATGCGCTTCTATTAGAGCTAAATGAAATGTAAACGTAGACGGATGAAAGTAGAGAAATTTTCGGTGGTAAACAGAAAAAATATTCTTAATTAGCAAGTTACTTGTACGTTGCGCGTTAAAATTGTACTCGTAGTTTGATACATACGGCTAAACCTTTGGTTCATCATCATTAAATCTTTGAATACCGTGACCGCCTATTATAGTTAATTAACATCACGTTTTATAACCACTCTCATTATTGACAACGTAACGTAATTAATTTCATCATACACTAACTCATTTAATAGTGAATCATAAATTTTAATTAGATTAAAAAGTAACTATATTTTCACCTCGAGCAATCCTTGCAACTTTTGCTTTTACTCAAAAGTCTTGTCTTGGCTGAGTCTCTGTGCTCTTCGACTGCGGAGCAGTAGCATTTGGATTTGCAGTCACCCTTCAGCGAGCAGTAGCAGCGATCGACACAACTCTCTGATTCGCATTCGGAGCAAGACACATATCCGCTTGAACTGTTTCTGTTCTGGCATCCCAGTCGATTACTCAGAGTCAAGAAATCGGAATCTTCCGACGTCGAAGTCCTTTCTCCTGGTCTCGACACTTTGCCATTACGTTTTGACACCTGCACAATTTTATCTGAGCGCTTCGAACTTCGTTGTCGAGTCCCTGGCCTTTTCGGCGGCGGTACTATAGGCTCTTTCGGTCGAAAATGTCTTAGATCATAACTGGACGTCGACACTGAACTCTCAGATACGGGCTCTTTGTTGTTGTTGATGTTCTGTAGATCGAACGAAGAAAGCTGCTTCTTCATCTCCTTCTTCCGTACATCTTTTCCAAATGGCATTCTGAATACCATCCGAAGACCGTTTGCTCCTTTAAATATCTTTCGTCTCTTATTCTGAAAAACACTATTTCTTCTTAATATTTTCTTTTTCTGTTTCTTCATGATTGCTTTACTGTGCTGGAATATTTCGTCTTTTGTTAGTGTAACTGCTAATTTTAATAGGAATTCTTTGTATATCGGTTTCAAGTCGTTGAAGGACATTCCTTCTGCGTCTATAATGGCGTTGAGGATCTCATCCATAGAGTGTAAGTTCTCCTGAACTTTGAATTCATTGAAAAGTTCGTTGAACCCTAACGGCGACCCACCTCCTTTCTTACCGTTGTTTCTGCAATTAATATAATTATTTCATTAATTTTATAAGTACGTAATTATTGTATCAGTCAAGGTAAAAAATTCTTGGGCAAGCAATAGATTGGATGTAATGCTGATGATTCGCAAAAAATACCGCGGGTGTTACACTGGATCAGAGGAATGTAGCGGACGCGGTTGCGTTGGCACAATTACTTGCATGCACGATGGCGAAACACTCCACTAAGCGCGTTCCATTCCTCTCTCGTTAGTGAGTTATTTTTGTGATCAGCTCGTAATTATCGAGATGTCAGCGGCCGACATTGGTTAAAAAGGAAATGATGTCGCTCAAGCGTAGAAATGAAATTGACAAGAACTCCGCGCGCTCACAATTGAATTGATACCCGACGACCGTATAGTAGGCAATTATAGAGCGGTAATGCTATAGCGATACGTACCTGTGTCCGATCGACTTGTACCTCGTGAGTCCCCCGGCGTTGAGGAAGCTTCCGGATCGCGGAATGGCTACTTTAGTTAATATGTCCCCAGACTCGTTTAATGATTTCCTCCCACTTTGAGTTCTTCCTAAAGGTTCTTTCGGAGGCTCTGGTGGAGGGTCCGATGGTGGCTTAGAAGGTATAGGTGGTGGTACAGTCGGTGGTCTTTGCAGATTCTTACGTCTCTCTAACTCCCTAAATAATTCAATTTTTTCTGACACCTTACTTCTAACAGAGGATTCGTTACTGCTTTGGGCGTTGTGCATATTTTGAAGCTTATTTATATTGGGGTTCAGAGACTTCTTCCCCATTGACTTTTTAGATCCTTGAGTGTCGCTACCGCTCGTATCATTATGCTTTATCGAGTCTAATTTAGCCTTCACTTCTTCAACTGTGATTCGTTTAATTTCGGCGGGAGGTATAGATGGAGGGGTGGAAGCTGAGGTAAGCTCTCCGATGAGATCTTTTTAATCCTTTCATGTCTAGACCATTCGTGAAACGATTCGCTGGCAGAGAAACCATCTGCTCGGTCACTGTCTCCGCTCATGGACGACGTACTTCGCTTCTTACGGGGCGGCCTGACAGGAACATCATTCGGAGAGAGACTACTCGTCACACTCATGCAACTTACACCGTTTCGGTTCTTCAGTTTCTTCTTGTCAGTATGGCCTTGTCTACTCATGTGTGACATGAGGGACTTGTATAGCGTGGCTGCTATCACAATAGCGTCTTCCGTCGTCTGACATACAAACCCATGACACTCCAATTGCTTAGCGACGCCGATTTTCCTCATCACAACAGCGAAAAGTGGTGAATGAGAATTTTCGTTGTGGGAGAGGATGTATTTTCTGTCTTGTGATTCTAGAGTTCTAAATAGAGCGTGACGATCGATGTTGTCCGGATCGGTGATGAGGGGAAGGAACGCATAGCCCAAGTCTCCTCCGTCGTCCGAAGGTTGAACGACGAACTTCACAGCGGACCAGACTGCTATTGTGGGAAAAGGATTTAGTTGCTCAAGGTCACCTTTTTCGCCTTTATATCTTACTTTTAATCCACTTTTAGATATTTCTAACCGACCAGTGAGGGTGCATTTATGGCGGAAATTTCTTCTATATGCGAAATACAAATCCTTCAGTGGAGTCTGGAGTCCTGATAGGCTGGTGACTTTATTTTGTAGTGGTGTAGATCCTAGATAGTGAACACTGAACACGTGGACTCCAATGTTTTCCGAAGTAGGCTTGGACTCCCCGGCCATGTCTGCGAACATCCTCTCTATTCGATCCTGGACCGTATTATTAATCTTGTTAATTTTATTCTGACAATAGTCGTCATCATCATCTTCGTATATCGTCGCTTTACTATCTCGAGCGGAACTGACCTGTAATGAAGAAACAAATACTATTAAAACTTGTAATTACAAATCATTATCAACCACTATTTCTTCAGGATACAAATCAAATCAAATATGGCTGGTAACCTAGCGGCTGTCGTCGAAGAGCGCTCCGATCTTCTGCTTGTAGAGCAAGAGGGAAGACAGCTGGGCCGTGCGTTCATCTTTGTTTATCGTCAAAAGCTAGGTTAAAATAAAAGAAGATATCTAACCTTGCTGTCCCTCCTTCCCAGTTCAGAAACGGTCATTTGTCCATAGTGCGGCAGGCTGGCGACCGAGCGGGTGTCGTCGAAGAGCGCGTCTATCTTCTGCTTGTAGAGCGAGAGGGAAGACACACTGGGTGCGCGCGATCTGCGCGTCTCATCGTCGCGCGCGCCCAGGCGGAACCCGCTGAGAGGCGCGCTGTCGTTGTCACACGTCACCATCTGGAATGAGAAGGAACCCTAATTCAAGTTGTTGAACGACTTGTCGTGCAGGGAAGGTTGAGAGCACAAGAGCGCGCGGCAGGTCGCCCATGCGTTGGACTGATCAGGTCAAAACCGCACCACTCTGGCAACAGTGTAGCGATGAAGAAGAATTCATATTAAAAATTCTTTATTAATATTTAGGCCCTTTTCATGGCACTTATAGAGTTATAGACGACCCAAATATAGCTTTCCCTACCACCACTTTGGGACAACATGGGCTGATGCTGAGAAGATGTGGCGGAAGAAACTCATTAGCTTTAGTTAAAATTAGCAAAAGGGCAGCTTGTACCTCACTCAATCACTCATCTACGAAAAGTGGGAATTTGATGACAATTAAAGTAAACCTTGGCATCTTATGAAGTTGTATTATAGATGCTTTTTTGCGACCATGATGTCACTCAATTTTCAAGAAAGGCTGCAAGTACGGGAACAATTGCGATGGACTGTGAAGGTAGTCTAATATGCTGTGGTCTGTACCTTTCAGTTCCAATTTCGGAAGGTTTTTTTAACTGAAACACAAATTAAACTCACTCACTCATTCACTCATTGAAATCGCCTTTTTAAAAACTATTTTTATCCATCACTCACTGCACAAAAAGGTGTACTACCTATTTCTGTGCTAAAAATACGAAGTTAGTGTCTTAAATCCTCTTGTGTTTTATCTAGAGCCTAGGTCCTAGACACTATTGTATTGTCAAATAAATAAACGTACTGCAAAATAGCATAAGTACTTACGCACCGAGAAAAAGGCTAGTCTATTAAAGATAAAAATAAATAGTGGATTGACTAAAATGGCACTGCTAAAATAGGCACCTGGGTCTCACTTAGGATCATAAATTATGTGAGTATCGTATGTGTTACCTGAGATAATTTCTTGGTTGACTGGAAAAATTCCGCACGGATGAAGGTGCGAGCGCAGCTAATCTTTTACAGACCGGTTACCAACAATTATTTTATTTTATTTCATAACAAACAACAGCTACAGCAGCAACTCAATTGGAATGTAGCAACCATTTTTAGATTCTTGAAAAGCGTGATTAAATTCTGCTCTTCCAATAAGAATTCGGTTGTAATTATTCTTAATTCTCGATGAAAATGATCTACACAGCTATCGTGTTGCAGGTGAATATCAAATTAGGCACGAAAATGATTGTGCGCAAGTCATTTTCTTGGCTGGCTGCGCGGGCGCACGCAATACGCACTGCAACTGCTGCAATATTAGTGATTTAGTGCAAACGGATGCACTTATTGGCTGTACATGATTTTATTCAATGATTTGTATTGACTGTCCATTCCAATGCAATTATGTTCATCATCATCTTTCAGCCATAGGACGACCACTGCTGAACATAGACCCTATGATTTCTAGGTTGGCAACGGCCTGCATCCGATGCCTTCTTCACTTTGTGGGTGGACGTCCCACGCAAATAGTAGGTCTTACCTACTTATTATTGATTTGGATCGATTTTTGGCAATCTCAAGTAATTTCAAAAAACAGGCAAAGAAAGTTTAAACTTTACTTCACTCAAGCTCAAGGAAGAGGTAACATATTATTATCTGCTACTTACCAAATATTTGCATATTATGAATATGGATGAATATAGTACATACTTAAACGTACTATAAGTAATAATGAATTGTACACTAAAGTTTTGAAATATTCATTGAACAATTTTGCAACGTACTAATTCTGAATTTATTAACAAACGCAATATTTATTGTATAACCTCAAATAAAAATATGTATGTGCAAAACAGAGGACGTATAGCAACCTTGAAACCGCCCTTATTAACAACAAAATAAGAGCGACTTTGGCAATGCTACTGTAACACTTGATGTGCCGTCACCGTACACATTTCATTGTGTATAAGTACAATTTATGGCAATCAAGTATTTACGAATATCATTGGAAATTATACACATGGGATCTTTATGACTTTATATTGTGCTTAATCTTTTATATATTCTGATGGCACTATAAGATAACTTAAAACTATCTTTGAAAGAGCGTTTTAAAGCTCTTAAAAGAGCAATATTAAGTAGGCCGTAACGTAGTTTACTACTCTCTGAGATTACGAGAAGACGAGCTGCTTATTGATAATTTGTTATAGCTCCATAATATTTTATTCATTCATTTGTCTATTTAAGTAGAGATACATGAAAGCCACTGAAAGTACGCCAACGAAAGCTCTATAAGTGGATTTGGATTACTTTTTCACGACATATTGGTTAGACGTTCTTAGAAATTGTTGTCATAGATCCATTCCATTTCGGTTTATCAATCACTGCGGTAGCTTATGAAGTTATAATAAGTGCTAAATTGCTATAGAAATATAGAGTCTTATATGCTGTCTATGCATATAATATGAAAACAGACAAAAGTTCAGTCTGCATTGTTTACATAGAAGTACTAAAGGTTTAGCCAAACCAACGCGATCATCCGGCGTGCAGCGATGGCAATCAATGCATTTAAGGTTCGACCAAACCGGCTGAATCTTTAGTCTAGTCGCCATCGCTGGACGCCGGCTGATCGCGTGTGATCGCGTTGGTTTGGCTGAACCTTAAGAAGCCACTAAACAATTGGTCATTAAGACATATTATTACGTCCACGTCTCATCATATACAGCTAGCTGACAATCAATGAAGTACCGATTGTACAAACAGAAAACAAGCAACTTTACTTTGTCTTAAAAACTGAAGACACTCGGACTTTAGAATTAGTAATAAAATGAAAATACTATAGCGTATTTTCTAACAAAGAGTCGTGAAGTTCGTGAATTTTAGTATTGAAGAGACATTTACTGGTGTGTGATACCACAAAATTATACTAGTAAATATACGTCTACTATACTGTCACGATGTTTCGATAGCTAGTAGCTACTGCCGGTTAAGATGCGCGCCGTGATAAAAACTTATCGATAATTTTAGTAAAATTAGGGCAGGGCCTACAGGGCAGGGCACCAAGCTGAAGATTAGTTTCTTAACATGTTAAGAGGTTTTTTCTTTCTTTGTAGGATTAGTTCGTTCATTCGTTTCAGCCAAATGACGTACACTGCTGGACAAAGGCTTCCCCCAAGGTTTTCCACAATGCACGGTCCTGCGCTGCCCGCATCCAGGTTCTTCCTTTACAAGATCGTCGGTCCACCTAGTAGGAGGCCTTTGTAGGATAAATAAAATGAATTGAAAGAGTAAAAATCACTCACTTCTCCGCGTGCAAGTGGGCCCTGGGCCCAATAATTATTAGCATCTTGGTCTTATACTTTCTCCCGCTATCCCGAACACCTGAAACAATAAAAACAATATTTTAGACTTGTCACAGCAGTATAAGAGGAGTGGGGAAATTGGAAGATTGAATACCTATCTACAGATATACAGACAAGTTTAGTTGAAGACTGTTATAAAAAACTAGAAATCTAACAAATATTTTTCCTCCTTTTTTGAGCTCTACCTATTCTGTAAGTTACAGGATCTTATCCATTTATGTAACAAGCTGTCACTTAAAATATCCTTTTCAAAGCCAACCGATCAATAAGTAGGCGATCATAAAATACCACAAGGTTCTATCACAGCATATTAAAGGAATGTCTGTCATATCCTTAAAGGAGATGGATACCGCAAATTGCGCAGGAAACTCCTCAAAATGGATGTCAATGATATTATCAACTCCTGCGTGAAAATAGTAGATAAACTGAGATTACAGCAAAAAGGTGCAGGTACCTATATGGTGGATCAATGTAGAAATGTTCCAAAGCTTTTTCTTATATTTCTTGTATGTTTTCCTAATAAAGAAAATAAAAATAAAAAATTATTTAAAAAACCCAGATCTCTTTGATAAATAATTATGTTTATGTTATTACCCTATAATATAAACCTTTCATTCCTTAACCTATTCCCTTTACTTATATTTGCGACCAAAGGTAGTACGTTCTTCTAGAACTGTTATTATTTACTTATTTGTATGTACCACAAGTCATCAGAATTGTTTTATTGTTTTTCGTATTTACACATATCACTTCTCTCACTCAATACACAATCGTTTAACACATAACGTTCATGACGGACTGTTACGTCATCAGTATGGACCCCATCGAGCACGCAACTAATGTTTTAACCGTTTAAAAGGTAGGATAAGAAACGATCTCAACACAATAGCAGCTTATGCTTAAAATACAAATAAATTACACCAAAAACTACTTAAAATTCAACGCTTAGGCAGGCATTAATCTTACGAAATCAGGTGGCTTCGTCACTTACGGGATCTAACGTTGTTACACAATACCCAAACGCAAGATACAGTAATTACACATAGCAAGAACTCTTGCGTTAACTCGCCGTTAAAACGTAGATAACTATTATATGTTTATTTAATTAACTATGCAAATAGCTGAATAAACAGAGAAAGGGAAAGTGCGTCGAGTGAGCTTCAAATTATACCGAATCGAATGAAAATGGGGATGTTGCCTGGGTCAAAAAGCAAGAGTTTTAATCAGTCCGTCAGTTAACTTATAAAAAAATACTCTACACGTATTTTTTACTTTTTCAAACTAATGAAAAATTAAAGAGATAAAGCGCCCCAAAGTTCATAAGAAGAGGCCCGTGACGTCAACGCTTGCTTAAAAATGCCGCACGTTGTGACGTCGTGCGCAACTTCAACGCACCATAACTATGTAATTATTTGTTAGATTGACAAATAAAAATATATGTGTCCAATATTTTTTGATATTAAACATTACGGACTAAAAAAATTTTTTTAGGCAACTAGCCCAAAAGATGCATCCTTTACTATATTGTACAGTTTCATACTATGTATTATAGACATTATAGTAATGGTTGACGTAAATAAACGAATAATCATTTACTTTTATGTATTTCGCAGTAAAATACCAATTAGAAAGGGCTCTCTTAATAGTAAGGTGAGAGATACTGACAGCGTTGTTACTATGAAGAAAGACGTGATTCTGGAATATGTATAAAATGTTATGATAACTATGATAATAAATCAACTTCGGTCAACTTCACGAGTACAGTGTAACAGAGGTATTAACGGAGGGTCGTGTCTGTGACGTCCATAATACACATCGACTGGGTGACTAAACTTGCAACCATGGGGTGGCGAAAAGATAACTCATAGCTCAGAACACAGATGGCGCTGTGCTGATTTGACTCGCGGTTTAATTTGATTTTTTTCAATTAAAGACCTGGATGACACTTTGGCGACATCGTAAGACTGTAATAGCTAGGCTAGATTATTTTTTCTTATTGTTTATACGAGTAAGTTATTGTTTATACCTATACCATAAAATTTTTGTAAAGAGATCATTAATGATGATCTCTTGAATTGATTGTACATGTTAAATTCATGTAGGCAGCAACGTGTAAATCGTTAGCCCCGCTCTCTCTGAACGTCAATATGAACAAATTTAAAAAAAATGTTTTCTTTTATCTTTATCAGGTTTATCAAATTTTTATTTCTCGTTTAAGATAAAACGGTGTTAAATAAATTGTTTTAACCTTTAGCTACTGAGGTGGATTTAATTTCACGTAAATACTGACGTGGGGGCCTGAGAGGCCCGTACATATGTGTGCTTATATTTTAAAATATATTATCTTTTTAGGGTTTTATGTTTAATAATTATTAATAGTGGTTATATTTAAATACAGTAAAACGATTTTTATGTAAATTATTTGTTAATAAGTAGGTATTATTTAAATATTTAAAAAACATGTAGCATTTTTTGGCAAAAATCTTATGAAATCATGATTCACAAAGTTATCATGAAAAATATTCATAAATTCAACAAATCAACTTAGAATCTTAATTTTCAATAGTCTTTTTAGCTAATGATATATCAGTCATCCTTATATGAAAAAGGGGGAAAAAAATTACACACATCAAATAGTGCGACTTAAACACAATCTGGATAAACTTGCTTTGCTCAGTGAAGGAAGCCATACATGTTTTTAAAATGTAGATTTCATTTGAATCTTCAAAAGACTAATATGGCACTTGGTTTCATCATTTAAATCTTGATAGACAGGTACAGGCTTATCATTTTCTAGCATACGTGCCAAAAACTACTGTTCTTCTATTTTTCGTTAAATGCTGGTTATTTGTACTTCCGAGATACCACTTTCTCTCGGACGACGTACTGTGGGCTCTATATTATAGATTTTTTCAAATTATTTCAAGAAAAGACGACAACTAAATGAAAACTAAGGACAAAAAAAGTTACGCCAATACTGAGGTGGGGGCCTGAGAGGCCCACAAGAAACTTTAAAATTAATTTACTGCTGAAATTGCGCGTGCAATCACGTGCACAGTTGTTGGCAGCCTCGGCGCAATGAAACTCGAAGGTACTAAAAGATTCACGTGTGTCGTGCACGTGGGAGAAGAGAAATTCAGTAATTTGATTTTTAGAAGGCCTGAGAGGCCCCCACGTCAGTAGTTAAAGGTTAAGCAGACTCAAAGAGAGCTATGGATTATGTCTCATTAGTTCAGTAGTTACTAGTATACGTAATCATGACAATAATTAATTTGCCCAGCAAGCGGAAGGTCGTGGGTTCAATTTTCAGTTCGATTTTTTCAAGTTATTTATAATTTTCAAAATAATTAATTTGTTTTGGGCCAAATAAAGTTAACGTGTAGGTCCATTTACTAATTTTATATTTGCCCGTGGTTTTTAGGGTTCCGTAGCCAAATGGCAAAAAACGGAACGGAACGGTATCTATGGATAGGTCTTCAAAAATGATATCGAGGTTTCTAAAATATTTTTTTTTTCTAAACCGAATAGTTTGCGTGACAGACGCTTCTAAAGTGGAAAAAAGTTGGTCCCCCCCCGTAACTTCTAAAATAAGAAAATGAAAAATCTAAAAAAAACATTATGCTGTACATTACTATAAAAACTACCAACGAAAATTGTTTTGAACGAGATCTAGTAAGTAGTTTTTTTTTAATACCTCGTAAATCGTAAACCGCTTATTACCGCGTAATCTTTCTTACAAATAACTTAAATTAAAAAAAAAAAAATTTCATAATCAATGGTACGGAACCCTTTGTGCGTGAGTCCGACACGCACTTGGCCGGTTTTATATTATTACGGTCTAGCAGAGAGTCTTAAGGTCAAAAACACTTGATAAATATGAATTTTCAGAAAATGTTTTGGTACCTAGTTGCCGTAAAATATTATTTCAAAAAAAACCTTACACAAAAGTTTTGAATGATGTCGATGTTTGGCATAAAAAAATCTCGCTGAATAGGAGTTTCTTTTTTCTTCGGCCAGAAATGTAAGTTTCATACATACAAGACATACAACGTGTAAACTAAGTAATCAAGTTTGTAGGTACATACAGTAACAAAAAGTTACAAAGCATCATTCAAATTGTAACAAATACGTGTTGCGAATTTTTTGGCTACTTTGGGATGTAAGCATACTAAGTAGGTACATAATATTTTCTTCTCATAAATATACAACATAAGTAACATAGAAAATCTCTAAACCAATACAAATAGCTATAACAATTACAATAAACTGTCAAAGTGTCAACCATTACGAAAAATTGTTGTTAATATCATTAAAATAAATTAAATAATAGATAAAATGTTTGATACCCTGCTGCAGTGTGTGGCCGGTTACTGAACTGCCAAAATTCAAAAATATTTTAATAGAAATTGAGCCTCCGCACTTTACATAATATTCATTTTTATTACGTAAAGAGATTTGTTTCTTTTTTCAGTATTGCGGTCACAATTTGAAAATGTTATTTCTATGTGTAAATAATTAATTTATTTCATTCACGAAAAATATATTTGGGTCACGCAGAATGTTGCGCGAAACACAGAGTCAGTTCGGGTCGGGACAGTTTGGGAACGTTGCTGCAACTCGTTATTTGACTTCCACTGGACATTAATTTTGTCCCCTAGTGTATCCGTGACTTTAAACAATTAGACCCCAATGTCAATCACTTTTATTTTCCAAAGTACCTCAGATGTTTGTCATTGTGTACGAGGGGTCTATCTAGGAATCAGTCGTGACTCGTGATACAGACCACTTTCCTCGCCACCATTATACGTCGGATTATCGCACGAGATCTGCAACGTAATAGGCCCCATAAAATAGTAATTAATACCGTAAAATTGCACATTGTAATTGTTATGTGGAATTATGACTTTCCGCATGCTATTTATTTGTAGTTAGGGATGTTTTAAGGCATCCTATACATAGGAATAAAAAACTAACGACCGTTAAGTTACGTCACTTTATTTGGATAGTCTTTTTACTATA